AGAGAGAGAGAGAGAGAGAGAGAGAGAGAGAGAGAGAGAGAGAGAGAGAGAGAGAGCCCCACCAAAACCACGCTCTGATGAAGACGACGTTGAAGATGCTGAGGAAGACGAAAGATTCTGGATTGACAAGGACAAGGTAAGTTGACAATGACATCAATACGGGGAAGGAGGACGTGTGCATCAATTGAGGGAATGGAGTGTGTAAAGGGGCACTTGCGTCATCCTGAGGGGAGGGTTTGGGGGAAGTCAGGGGGGGGTGCTTAAAGGCTCCCCACATGGCACAGCCATGTGGCTTGCTCGTTTTGTTCATTTTCTCCTTTTTTACGTTTTCTTATTTTGTGTGCGTGTGTGAGAGTTAGAGGGGGGGGGGCAAGGGGGAAGCTGAGGAGCAGGAAATGGTGGTTTCGTTCTCTCTACTTCCTGACTCTGATTTGGGAACGGAACATAGGCAGGGCAAGGGGGAAGCTGAGGAGCAGGAAATGGTGGTTTCGTTCTCTCTACTTCCTGACTCTGATTTGGGAAGGGAACATAGTCAGGGCAACATCGTGAAGAAGTCGAGCCGGACATGACGGTGGGACATGATGATGGTGGATGACCAGGGATCGTAACGCAGTGGGGAGGGAGAGGAAGCCATGAGGGAGGTGGGTCATGGGAAAAGGAAGATGGGTGTGGCAGTCGGGGATTGAGGTCAGGGCAAATGAGAAGTGCAGCCATTGTGGGCAGTTGGGATCAGGGGAAAGGGGGATGGGTGCACCATTTGAGCGAAGGCGGGGGTAAAGGCATGCCACGTGGCTCGGTTATCTTTTTAATTTTCTTTTTTATATTTGTTTTTGTGTGTGTGTGAGAGAGAGAGGGAGAGAGTGAGAGGGGAGAGGGGGGAAGGGAGAGGGTTCACGGGAAGTTGGGGGCAGGGGCTAAGGCGCGTGATCATATAATGTAGTTGCCTCACATGGTGTGATCTCATTTTCGTTTTCTTTTTTTTGTTCGTCTTTTGTGTTTGCGTGTGCGCGTGCGTGCGTGCGTGTGTGTGTGTGTGTGTGTGTGTGTGTGTGTGTGTGTG